ATTAGTCAACTTCAACTTCAGCAGATTTAATGTTAGAAAAATGCTAATAAAAATAACAAATTATTTAACATACTAAATGATTCAAAGAGTAAACTTTGAATATGGATACCCTGCCTGACTAAAATGACAGAAACTTTTTTCTTTCTTTCTTTTTGAGAGACAGAGAGAGACAGAGAGCGAGCACGAGCAGGAGAGAGGCGCAGAGGGAGTGAGAATCTTAAGCAGGCTCCGTGCTGAGTGGAGGTTCACGACCCTGGGATCACGAGCTGAGCCGAAATCAAAAGTCAGATGCTCAACCAACTGAACCACCCAGGTACCCCCTAAAATTATATAAATAAAAGAACGATGTTGGATATTGTGAGATGGGAATAAGAAACAGAGTTGATTCCTTAGGACATACAAACTTATAAAGATGTGAAAGCCATAGAGTAATAGAATTTTACAGCTCCAAGGACCTTCATTAGAAGAAAAAAAAAAGCCAAATGATCATACAGAATTGAAAAATGACACAAGATTTCACATCAAGCTCTTGGGGTCTGAGATGGACTGAAGTTTCATCCAGAGGGAAGGAAAAGACTACACAGAGAGAGGGTGGAGGGCACTGTAGAGGCATTTAAATGTATGAACAAAAGTCTACAGTTAGAAAAGTACAAGACATTTTGGAAATTAAAAAATAATTTGATAGGAATACAGTGTGTATGCATGAGTGAAAAAAAAGACAAGGCCAGAAAGGAGTATGTAATACTCAAATAAGGAGTCTGGACTGAAAAGACAGATACTAAGACTAAATGGCTTTTAAGACCCTAATAAAGGAACAATTTATGGAGGATAAATTACCTGATGCTTTTGTATTCTATTATTTTGAGGGAGTTAAGAACAACAAAAGCACCCAAATGGAATAAATATTCCTACTGATTTATACATTTTACCTTAATATTCTTTCAAAGTGGCAAGGCATATAAATATAGTCCAACGCAGTGCTTGAACTCAAACTGTTGTGATCACGACCTGAGCCGAAACAAACAGTTGGACCCTTAACCGACTGAGCCACCCCTGTGCTCCCATATAAACAGATTTTATAAGAGAGTAGAGTGATGAAACCAATTTGTAGGTTTAATAGTCTCTCTTTTTTAAAACAGGGAATGTTTACTTTTTAACCTGAAAACTTTTAAGTACAATGAAAAAAAGATATGGCAGTTGGCCACCAAGAGCATGACGTATTCCTTAAGGTATAATTCGATTTGAATAGAAATTATTATTTAGAAATGTGAAAGCTGAATTCCATTCCTACTGTTTTTATTACTTATAATGAGTAACTGGCATAGCTCTTACCCTATTCTTAGCATGAAACTTGGCACTTGGCACTATACTGATGTCAACTCAATTTAGACTGGGAATTCAGTTATTAACTAAATAGCAAAATGACAAAGCAGTGTTTTTGTTGAAAATTACTACACAGCATTCCAAATTTCACATGTTGCATTTTGGAATCATCTTTTTCTTCTTACATAATTAAAAAAATAGTACTGTGTAAAAGGTCAAACATTCAAAAGTATAATAGTATATTGAAACTCAGCTTCATAACTGTGAACATTCTGCCATTGTTTCAACTACTCCCTTTTTCTCTTCTAGAATATTTTAAAGCAATCCTCAGATATAATATAGCTTCTACATAAATATTTCAGAATCTATTTCTAAGAAATACAGACTTAATAGGAAAAGATAATATTTAAGGAGTCTGTTCCTCCTGAAATTTTTCCCTTCTCAGTAAATCTCAAGCCAAAACCTCATAGTCATCCATAACACATCTTTCCCTCCTGGCCTCAAGCCAATTTGAGAAGCAATACTGAATAGGTTCTGAATCCTCCCTGCTATTACTGTCACCTAAGTCAATATCACCTTTTGCCTATCCTATGGCCACAGCTCCCTAACTGATAACCCTGGTAACCCAGAACCTCAGGGTCTTCATACTTTTTCCCTCTGCCTAAAATGCCTTTCCTCCACAAAACTGGAATGGTCACTTCCTTGAGGTCTCTTGGAATTTGATCCTGTTGGAAAGACTTGTCCTGAATCATATATCTATACAACCTGACAAAAACCACCATCCCTGCCATTAACGTATCCCTTCTGGCTTTTTTCTTCATCACCACCTGATGTATTTACTAATTTGTCTTTTGCTAGATTATAAGCTCTACGAGAACAGGTATTTTGCTGATTTTATTCACCAGTGTATCACCAGAGTCCAAAATAGTAGTGTAAGACAGACATGGCAGTAGGCACTTAAGTATTTAGTACTGAGAATAATTTGATAGCTAAGATTAGGACAGAATTTAAAAACTAAAGGATTTGAAGCAATGAGCAATTAAAATCCATCTGAAAAGTACATCTTTTGAGAGCTTTAATAGATTTTTTTATTATTTAAAAAAAATTTTTTTTAACGTTTATTTATTTTTGAGACAGAGAGAGACAGAGCATGAACGGGGGAGGGGCCGAGAGAGAGGGAAGCACAGAATCAGAAGCAGGCTCCAGGCTCTGAGCCATCAGCCCAGAGCCCGACGCGGGCTCGAACTCACGGACCGCGAGATCGTGACCTGAGCTGAAGTCGGACGCTTAACCGACTGAGCCACCCAGGCACAGGCTAGATTTATTTATTTATTTATTTAAAAAAAAATTTTTTTTTTAACGTTTATTTATTTTTGAGACAGAGAGAGACAGAGCATGAATGGGGGAGGGTCAGAGAGAGGGAGACACAGAATCGGAAACAGGCTCCAGGCTCTGAGCTAGCAGCACAGAGCCCGACGCGGGGCTCGAACTCACGGACCGTGAGATCATGACCTGAGCCGAAGTCGGACGCTCAACCGACTGAGCCACCCAGGCGCCCCTAGATTTATTTTTTAAATCAAGTCTACTAACAATTTAAATCAAATTCTAAAACAATCAATCAAATTCTAGTACATGTGTCTTATTTAAGCACTGTGGATTCTATACCTGAAAATACATCTCTCTTTAAAAGGGTGGCAATACAACATCAAATCTCTGCTCGGCAAACAAAATCTTTGGGAATCAGCAATAAAAAATATTGAAGGCCTCTTTTCAGTCAACATTAAGTCTCACAAATCAAATCATTTCAGACTCTCAACCACTTACTCTCCTTGCACTTGTCTTTTAACTATCAGAAGTAGGCTAATTTAAATCAATAAATCATTTTAACCAATGTCTTTACAATATAGCATATGTTTTATTTTTAAAATGTTTATTTATTTTTGAGAGAGAGCAAGCAGGGAAGGGGCAGAGAGAGAGGGGGGACAGAGGATCCGAAGCAGGCTTGGCGCTGACGGCAGAGCCCTATGAGGGGCTCGAACTCACCAAACCTGAGATCATGACCTGAGCTGAAGTCAGACGCTTAACCGAGCCATCCAGGCCAAATGAACCATCTATAGCTTATATTTTAATGAAGGAGGAGGAGATAAGGGTTAAGGCAGCTAGCTTATTACTCACCATGCAGATTTTGGAACTTAGAAATCAACACCTAGAAGGAATTTCCCACTGCCTTAAGTATTATCTGCTTAAGTGTTATTGAAATGCTCAGATTGTATTAGATGATCTTTAAAGTCTCTCCAGTCTGCAACATTCTATATTCTATATCTGCAATGCCTACTCTGGAAGAGAGAAGCAGCTTTCAATGAGTAGTAGATCAGGCAGCACTTGGCTATTTACTAGCCATGCAAGTTAAACAAGTAACTTAACCTCTACGAGGCTGTTTCCTCATATATAAAAGGGGTTAACAGCATCTATCTGGCAAAGTTACAGAAAGGACAGTAGATAATCTGTCAAATGCCTTGCATATGTTTGACAGTTTTTTTTCACAATATAGGCAGCTATTACCTAGCTCGACTTCTACCATTCTCTTGCCAAGAATAATGCAATGTAAGATCAACTCCACCAATGAAACTGGGGTAAAGGAGAAAAGTAATAAGGCAGTGCAACTGACTTACATTTCAGTATCAGTTTGGTATGTGTATTAGAAAATTATTTTTGTTTTCTCTTTACAAAAGGGAATGTTGTTGCTACTATGACTATGTCATTAATTTAAGCACCAGACTGTTTATAACTCATGTTGTGGTGGAATTTACATCTGTTCATAGATTTAACCGAGTTGACATAATGTGGGTGATAGCTGGGGAAAACTGTCCAAGTTCCCGAGTGCTGACACTTCCTTGACTGCGGAATGCCGCAAGACGGCTAAATTTCCCCCTTACAGTGTATTTGAAATATAACAACTCTGACAACACGCATAACGCGAATCTTCCCCTCCAGCGTCTCCTTGTCCTGCTGCCGATGCTCCTCATTTTGAGAACGAGGTGGGAACCCCCAAACTCCAGGCTTCCCAAGGCCTTGGCAGAGTATGGACGCCAACCGACGATCTCCATTTCGCCCGCGGACCGCCCTAAGCCCAGGGACCTTCCTTTCAGGGAGAGAGAGGGCTGGAAGGAACTGCGCTGGCAGCTCTTTCGGTTCAGGGGCAGGAAAAGGAAACTTCCTTCTTGGACTCGGCGAGGAGAGGGAGAGAGACGAAAGGAAAGGGTGGGGGTGGTGCAAGAAAGGCCCGTCTCTCTCGTTACCGCGCCGGGCTAGCAGGGCCTTTGCCCTCCCCGGGAGGGCGGCCACACCAGCCCTGGCGATGTGGGGCCAGAAAGGCGGGCGGTGCTGTCTCTCGGTCCGGAGCCGAATTCAAGGTGTCCTCCCGGGGCGGAGGAAGCTCCGCACCCTCTCCCCACCCCGCCTCGCTTCCGGGGAAGCGGCGGTTGAACTGGAAGGGGGCAGAAAACCGCCGCCGTGCCCGGAGGGGGCACCAGGCCGCGCCCATCATCCAGGCCTCCGGCCGCAGGCCTGCCAGCCGGTCCGTGTGGTCGGGTGCGGGGAGCGCCGCCGCCTGGCCCGGCCCCTCCTCGGCCCTCTCGGGCGCCCCCCTTCCCCCCCCCCCCCCCCCACCGCGGTACCTGCACAGCACGACTGAGGAAGGTGCCCGCGTCCGCCGCCAGCTTCTTCACGTTGAAGTCCATGATGTTCATCCTGGGCGGCGGCAGCCGGGCGGAGCTGCCGGCTGACTTAGCGGGGAGGCGCCGAGGCCGGGCTGGGGCACCGGGCGAGAGTGGCGGGGGCAGACGTGGTAGGTGGAGGGAGGCGGCGCCAGCCCTGCCGCAGCAGCTGTCGTTTCCGCGAGGGGGAAGCGAGAGGGTGGGGCGAGGGGAGAGAACAAGCGGGGCGGGCCGCGCGCCCGGGTGGCGGCGGGGGCGGCCGAGACGTCGGGCCTGCTCCGCCGAGTCTGGCGCTAGCGTCGGCGCTGGCGGCCGAAAGCTTGAAGGAGACTGACGGACTGGTAATGAGCTGTATGGGGCGGGGTCCCGGACGGAGGAAGCCCCGCCGGCCGCGGGGTGGAGCCTTTTCATAGGTTGTCGCGGGAACAGCGACCCCTTCTGGATCGCCGCGGCGCAGTCGCGGGGCGCGCCGGAAGCTCGGCCAGCTCCACCGGAGGGAGGGGCATGTTAGCTCCCAGAAGTGAGTAGTGAGTCGTGGGGGCCCTGGTTTGCAGGTTAGCCGCTGAAAACTGAGAGCAGAGACAACCCAAATCCCCCGTTTTGTTTCAAGGGAAAATATGAAAATTGTAGCACAGAATGACGATATTATGAAATTACAACCAACAGATAACTCCTTAGCATCTTGTAGCTTTCACGCCCCGCTGATCCCTGACGCCTGGTGGCACTCGATTTACGTTTGCTGAGCAGGGCTGAGTTTATAGTTCCCACTGAGTGTGTTGTTCATTAAGGATTATTGAGAATCTTCTGTGTACCAGGACTGAATCAGGGACTGACATACCGTACTGAACAAAACTGTCCCTGGTCTCAAGGAGCTCTCAGTTGGGTTACTTGACAATCTTCGGGCGCTTCACCCCCACCAGAAGCTCCGTTAACTATTTGCTGCTGCGGGGGGGGGGGGGGGGGGGGTTTGAGTGCCTTAAGGCAGCAAGCCCACGCTGGATTATTCGAGCAACACAAGCCGCCTACTGTGTGCAAAGTACGGTGACGGGGGATACAAAGTGCCAGGTGGGAGACACAAGGAAGTATAAAATGGTGAGTGAGATGGAATAACTCTTAACCCTTAACATTCAGTGTGGGGAATTTTAATAACATGAAAATATGAAGTGAAATCTGTTCAAAAGCCCATAATGCCAAGTAACTTCCAAAGCAGCTCTCACGATACGACCTATGCTTGAACTAAGTTAAAACAGGCGATAGCACAGAGGGAGAGACAGTATTTCAAGAATAAAACACTCCATGTTATTTTTTTTGTCACTGTATCCTTTTGTTACATTAGGGCTGGGAAAATACAGGCCCAGCAGGCAATGAAATGAGCTCATGTTTTACTGAAGCAGCAGAGAAGCAGTAGCTATTGTTACCGGCTGAAAGATTAGTTCCTGAAGACATAAAGAACAGCAGATTCATATAAATATTTGTATTCTTTTATTCTCTGTGGTGGTGACAGAAACAACCACTTCTTTCTAAGGTAACTCCAATAGAATGAGTCTCCAAGACCAAAATTGCTGCATATATATTTCATCTCAACCTATTTTCCCAGAAATATGGAAAAGGAAATATGTAATCAGGAATCCTGTTTTTCATTTATTGTCTATTTTAGGTTTTTATGTGGAAATGCACTTTCTCTCTTTCCAGATGTCTGTCTTCACAATAAATATGTTTGCCATCATTTATGTCCATTCTAGTTTAAAATCACAAAACTGTGTCCACCATTATAGGAAAAAACTCTGAATCCTGTCCTCAGACATGTAGATCTTCCTAACTTGAAAAAAACGTCACTTCTTTTTGTTGAGCCCTTTAGAGTTTTAATACTGTTTCTCGTTTCACAAATTCATAAGACTCGTGTGTGTTGCCTGTATTAACTTACTATCCGTTTCCTGCCTGATTCAATGCAGTTGACTTCTATCTCTGTAACTATACCTAAACAGCATTCTTGAGGTTGCCTGTTCTGTTCATGATAAACTCATTGGCCTTTTCTCAGACTTCCACAGTGACTGTATTCAGTGCCTTCCCTGCAATACACCCCTTTCCAGGCCCTTATTGTTTGCTGGCTTTCCCAGTACCTCCTAGACTTTCCCATTCGACTCTGCTGGCACTTCTGATGGCTTTAATGCAAGTATTCCTTAAACTCAATGTTCAGCACTTTTTTTGTTTTCTCTCTCACTCTTTTTTAATGTTTATTTCTCTTTGAGAGAGAGAGAGAGAGAGAGAGAGAGAGAGCGAGCACAAGCAGGGGAGGGACAGAAAGACATAGAATTCGAAGCAGGCTTCAGGCTCTGAGCTGTCAGTGCAGAACCCACTAAGGGGCCAAACCAATGAACTGGTGAGATCATGACCTGAGCTGAAGTTGGAAGCTTAAGCGACGGAGACACCCATGTGCCCCTGTTCTCTTTTCTTTGATTAGTTTCTTAATCCGTATTTATACCACTTCATTATTTTATGCATTCATTCAGTAAATGTTTTTTGGGTATCTACTCTGTGCCGCATGACATTATTCTTGTGGCTAGGAATATAGCAGGCAACAAGACAGATAGCCCTTGCTCTCATGGGAGTTTATAAATAATTCCTAAGACAGAAATTGAATAAGTACAATGTGATGAAATGCCTAGGAGGAATCCAAAGTGCTCTTAAATGTTCACTTCCAGCCTGTACTTAGTAACTTGAATTCTAATTTGGATGGTAGGTCTTTCTGTAAGGGTTCTAGATTACCTTTTAATGCTTTCTTTAATCTGTTCCTTATAGTAACTTCTTATTCCAATACAAAGTATTATGAAAGTGATGTTTTTAAGATCATACAAAGTGTTGAATACCTGGAATCTTCCCCAAAATTTTTAGCCTAAAAAATAAATAAAACCTTTATTAAAATGGTATTGTAGGTAGTATGATATGCATTTAAAATTTTTTTGTTGTTATTAGTGGCTAACAAGATGTTCATTACCTCATACCTAGACCAGTGACATCTAAAGTGGTGGTTTTTATGTACGTCATTGGGGTGTGCAATATGATCCACTGGGGTGCTGAGAAAATATTGGAAGGTTGGTTTGTATTTTATCTAACAAATAGAAAAAAATTTGTTTCACTAAGTTTTTAAAAAAATATAGATTGACACTGGTGTTCTCACTTTACATTTATCAGATAGACACATGTCACAGATAGTAAATGAGGATCTTAAGGGAATAATGGGAACTTCTCAACTTGGAAGAGTTGGAATTAGTAATTTCCTTTGATTGTTTGCATCAACTTATGATAACATAATACAGTGTGGCTGATTAAGTGTATCTGTAAATTACATTATCTATCTAGTTTTAACTAAATAAACCTTCACAAAAATGGACAAGTAGCCTAAAGAATTTCCCCCAAAGAAACCATCATTAAAAGTAAGGAAACAAGAAATGCCAGAATCAAGTATTTTGGGAAGGTTGTTGAAATATGGATTAAAAGATGATTTGCAAAGTAAAACACAGTCTGAAAACTATAAAGTATAAAAGTTTGTGTAGGATTGGGTGAGAGTGAGAGGAAGGGGGTATTAGTAGGGTAAGAGAGGTGATAGTGATAATTAAGACTTCTTAGGCTGGCTTTTGATTGAATTTATCTGGAAGGATGAGGTTTGATGGTGGGGAGAGATGATCAGGCTTTTAATTTATAACATGTTTGCAGTGTGGCTAATCAATTGGGGAGGGACAAAGACAGGTAGTAAGAACAATTAAGATTCTGTTATCAAAACTTTTCTTGTACTCTCCTATCTTGAAATCTTAAATTTAGAAATCTCAATTTTGGCCAAAATTGCCTCTCATTTGACCTCTCTGATTCCTTTAGTCATTTAGTGTGTTCTTACTGTCATCAACGGCTACAGTCCCATGACTCATTACTATTTACCGATTTTTAACTCTCACCAGAACTCACAGTTCCCATCATCCTTCTGGCCCATCAGCCTACGTTCCCAGATGAGTGTTTTCTCTGTTCATGCTCTCAAACTGTCAAGCGTTGTTAGGGGAAAATTGCACAACATTGTAGGTGGATGCTACTACCAATGCATGATTGCCTATTTCCGTTGAACCTTTAACTGCCTAGAAATGCTTTTACTTCTTCCTAATCAACTCCTTTTCACTCTCTCTGCAGACCCTACTGCAAAACTTCACCACTCTCCTTAAGATTCCTACTTTATTCTCATATATCCTTACTCTCAGCCTTTGATACTTTTTCTTTACAGAGAAACTATATATCATAAAGCTATTTGGCAGCTCCTTCAATCAAATTCCCTTATTTTCACCTTTTATCCTTTCCACCCCCACCCTCTGCACACTCATCATTATTACCAAATGCTTCAAAGGAAAAGGTATCTTAGGTGTTGTCTTCTGAGTCAAGCTATTGCCTCTTAATCTTGGCTGTGCATTGGCATCACCTGGAGAGTTTAAGCAACCACTGGTGCCTCATCCCCTCCCCCAGAATGTGGACTGGGCATTGGGATGTTTAGAAGCTCCTCCAGGTGATTCTAATGTGTGCCTGAGGTTGCGAATGAACCCATCACCCGATGGGAACGTCTATCCTTTGCTAACAGGTAGATTCCATTTCTCTTACTGGATTGAGTCCTCAAGGGCAGAAACCATTTGTTGTTAATTTTTATACTTTTATGGTCTACATTCCCAGCAACACAGTGGATTCTCCATTTGTTAAATGAATAAGCAAATCAAGATGTATACAGTTTTTTTTTGTACCCCTCCTCTCCTATCTAAACATCCAACTACAGCGCTTAAATATTTCCAGCGCTGAGTTTCCTTTTCTTTAATGTTGTTTTTCTTCTTGGATTTCCTGTAATGGTAAATTGAATTATATGCACCAAGTCACCTAAGCTAAAAATCCCAGTCCTCTATGATTATTTCCTCTTCTTTATCATGTCCAACAGATCAGATCCTGACAATTTTTTTCTGTGCACTATTTCTCATCTTCATCTTCCTTTTCTTTTTTTAAATTGAGGGATAATTGACATATATTACATTAGTTTCACTATTTATATACATTGCAAGATGATCACCACAGTAAGTCTAGTTAATATCCATCCATATCACCATGTGTAAAGTTACAAATTTTTTTTCCTTCCCGCCCCCCAACATGTTACAAACTACAAGAGACTTTTAATGATAGAGAACGAACTGAGGGGTGATGGAGGGAGGTGGATGGGAGGGATGGGCTAGATGGGTGATGGGTATTAAGGAGGGAAGTTGTTGTGATGAGCACTGGGTGTTGTATGTGATGAATCACTGAATTCTCCTGAAGCCAATATTGC